TTTTTGTTCTTTTATATGGAAATAAAGTTGCAGGATTATTGTGGGTTCACCTCCCTGTTAACAGGTGCGGTTTCCTTGCTCTCTGATTCCACCTGGCCCAGGTTCTCCGCTCTGGGCACAGGGCAGGAGATCCAGGTCTGGTTCCTTCTTCCAGTAACCTTTTCCACAGCTTCTGAGGGAGCTGAGCAGATGTTCCCAGCATAGTGGGGGAAGGCTGATCCCTGAGCACACAGCAGGTGCAGAAGGAGCTGGCACCTGTTAAACAGGAACTTGGAAATGATCTCATCGAGTTTGCAACAGATGAGTCTGTCCTAGTTAAGGCTGAATTCCCGGGGGTTTACACTGTGGTTTGGCAGTGGGAACCAGCCCTGCATTTGAATCTGAGCTGCTGAGCAGCAAATTCCTGGTGTTCCAGGCAGTTGGTGTCCCAGCATTGTTCCTGGAGGATGCGGGTGCCGTCTGTGCCGCTGCGCTCCCCGGTGCGCTGCTCTGGTGAAACCAGGACAGCCTTTTCCAGGGCATTTGGGATCCTCCTGGCAAATGAAATCAGGACAGTTCCTCCTGGGAGGATTTTGGGTTGGTAGAGCGCAAGTTTTTCCTTCAGCTGCTTGTGCCATGTGGCAAGAGCCACCTCCCAGGGCTCATCCTGCGAGGGGAAGGGCTGCGTGGGTGGATCTGCCGGCGCAGGCTCTGGAGATTCCTGCTTTGGTGGGGATTAGATTAAACCTCCTTTTTGTGTTCCTCAGCACTGAGTTATTTCTGTCACACTCTGGGGGGTGTGATGGAGTGTTGGGTGGCTTGGGAGCTTGTACCGAAGGGAATATGTGGGGGGAAGAGCTGGGAATTTGGCATTGGGCAGAGCTGGGCATCAGGTTTGGAATGCTGGGCACTGCATTTGTGTTGCTGGGTCTGTGCAGCGCCAGCTGAGCCTCTTCTCCAGCCCAGACTTGTTTGCCATCCGTGCTGACTCAACCCGTGGATATGGGCTCAGCCCAGGGCTGGAGCACAAGGCCATGAGGTCGTGGCATGGAATCGTGTTCTCCCAGCCTAAATGGATGGGATGTGAGCCCCACTCACCACCCGTGTGCTGAGCGTGATTTTTGACAGATAGCACGGAGATGTTGAGTCATCTCCCCAGGCCAGGCCAGGATCAACAGGGCCGCACTGGGAATGAGGGGTGGGATTATCTGCTCCGGCTCCTGAGTGCAGTCAGATGTCCATACTGTTAGGAATGGATTAAATATCCTTAATCGGTTTAATATGAACTTTGTTATCCCCACAGATACATGTTATTCCTCTTCCACAATAGCTGTAGTCTGCCTGTTCTCTTCAAGAGCCTGCTCAGGATGGGCTGTGCTGAGCCATGGCCGAGCAGGGGCTCCCAGGCCTTCCCAGGAGAACAGGATCTGTCATACTTCCTTGTCCATGCTGTGACTGGGGCAGGAAGTGGAAGGAGGAAGCACACTCTGATCCTGCCAGCAGTGAGGAGCAAGTGAGTTTGCTTCCTTGGAGAGATGAGGGCTGTCAATGGGGACACAGGGTTTTATTCAGGCATAGCCAGGGCCAGCATCCCTGCCATGGTTTGCTCTCCAAGGAGGGATCCAGTGTCTGTTGTCTCCAGGCAGGGTCGCACAGTTCCTGGCACCAGCACCATCTCCTGCTCCTCCTGCTCTGGGCCCTGCAGAAGGGACAAACAATTTGGAATCGCTCTCCAGTCCCAGCCAGGACTCGCTGAGAAAGTTGTTGTGGTCTCAGGTTTCAGGCTGCTGTCAGTGCCGGGAGGTTTGGGGATGGGAATGGCACTTCACTCCATCTGCCCTCCGCTAATCCCCAGACAAACGCGGCTCTTCCATCTGTGCAGCCGGAGCCGCCGAGCCCATCACACCAGCCACTTAATCTAAATGGCTTTGGCCAAAGATAAGGTCATTAATTACACTGGGATTAGAAAACAGTCCAGGCCCAGCGTGGCTTGGCTCGCCATCAATTAAAGTCCTCAGCGCCCTGGCCTGGCTGAGCATCGAGCCGGGAGCTCGAGCTGGAGGAGCTCTGTGTCCTTGCTGACAGGGCACTGCCTGTCCTCGGAGGAGCCCCCTCACCTGGGCGCTGGTATTTTGGCACAGCACTGGGGTGGGCTCCCATCCCTGGTCGCTGGCAGGGCTGTGTGCAAGGCAGAGCTGCTGATGCAGGTCCCAGGGGACACCCTTGGGATGCCCCAGGAGGAGCACGGGCACCGTGGCAGCCAGTTCAGCACAAATCCTTGCGTCCAGCAGTGAGAGGGACGTGAGCAGCACCTCCCCATCTGCATCCCCATCCCTTGCTGCCTCCAGCCTCCACCAGCCCCTGCCAGGCCACCACATTGAGCTTGGCCCTGACTCACTGCCCGCACGGGTGGCCAAGCCCCGATGCCCTCGCTCGTGGCCACTGTCTGCAGAGCTCAGAGCCCAAAGTCTGCCTGTGACTTGTGCTTCCTTCTGCTCCTCCACCTTTCGGTTCCCTTTTCTTACCAGATTTTGGGTATAAAACTCTCCGATCTGCTCATCCCACAGGAAATGGCTTGTCCATGCAGTGTTACCCTTTGCTGGGGCGGGATGTGCCACTTGCTCTGCCCTGCCAGGTGCCACGCTGGGGAACAGTCGGGGCTGGGACATGCCACAAGTTTGGCCTCATCCCCTCCCCTCGCAAGCAAGAGGCACCGTGAGGGAGGTGGGGGGACATTATGGGCTCTGTGCCAGGATCCAACCGGCACCGGGGCACGGGGGCACAGCTGCCACCTCGCCCGGCACCGGTGACCAGCTGGTGTCTGTGCCCCTGTTCACTGGTGGGTTTAAAGCATCCGGCTGTCCCTTAACTCCCGTTGGAGGTCCCGGCTGGTGACGCTGCCCTGGCTCTTCCCACCCCAGTTCCCACACTGCAGGGACGGTCCTGCACCGGTGCCTCGGACGGGCTGGGCACCATCTGTGGGACGGTGTCACCTGGGGCCATCGGCTCCTGCAGACACGCGGCAGCTGCAGCCACCGAACTGAGCCGTGTCCTGGGCTCATCTTCGGTTCCCAGGTGGGATCGTCGTGTCGCGGAGCACCGGGGGGGATTTAACGGAGCCCTGGGTGGTGGGTGCGGTGGGAGGGAGCCCTCAGGGTCCATCTGGGCTCAGCAGGGCTGAGTGGCACCGCTGGCACCGCTGCTGTTTTGGGGCTGGTGGGCGAAGGAAACCAAAGGGGAACCCAAGTCACGGCTGGGGCACGGAGCTGCTTGGAGAGCTGGGCAGGGCGTGGGGGATGCTGTGGCCCATCCGGTGCCTCGGCAGTGTTTTGTGTGGCTGCAGTGAAGCCGTGTTGCAAGAGCCTAAAAATAAATGGGGCTGTTGGCCGGAGTTGTGCAACAGCGTGTGCCCCATCCCGCACCGTGCGGGACTGGGGTGGATTTGGCGGCAAAGCCCGGGTGTGGATCCTGGCATCGGGCCCAGGAAATGCTGGTATCCGAAGGGCTGGGGGCTGTGCCCGCTCTTTGTCCCGTTCTTGGGGACGGGACCCCCTGTGTCCAGGGGTGCCCGTGCAGGTTTGGGGACGTGTGGGCTGAACTGGGCTGTGGGGGCAGGTGGTTGGGATTGGTGTCCACATCTTGGCACCCTGAGGAATTCAGCGGGGGAGTCCAGAGTTCAGGGGGCCATGGAGACCCTGCCCACGTGCCCTCCAGCACGTGCTGGACGCAGTGGTTGTCACCCATTGCCTAGATGGGGAAACTGAGGCACGGGAGTCCTGCCAGTGCTGTGGCACCTTGCAGGAGGCTCTGGGGTCCTGGTGTCACCTGTGGGGTGCCCACTGTCCCCTGGCAGTGGAGGGGCTGTGTGGGGCAGTGAGGGGGGGTCAGCAGTGCTGGGAGCAGCCTGTGTGCCAGGCGGGAAAGGCGGGAAAGGTGGCGGGAAGGAGAGCACTGGCAGGACACCAAATCCCAGGGGACTTGGCCCTGTGCCCCAGGAGCGTGGCTGTGCTGAGGTGAGTCCTGGGGTGTCCCCGTGGGGGGTGTCACAGCCCCTGCCAAGGGCTGACCCGGGGTCTGGCACTGCAGGGGCCCTGCCGGGGTCTCCCCCAGCTCGGGGGGCTGAGGGTGGGGGTGTCAGGCTGAGTGGGGCCCCCCACCGTGTAGCTGGTGTGAGTGGGGCCAGCGTGGCCGCGTTGTCACGGTGTCACAGGGCCATCTGCCGGCAAAGGCACCGGCCCCGTGGCAGCCAGCCATGGCCTCCAGCAGCATCCCAGTCCTCCCAGTTTGCAGCTGCTGGGGCACTGGGGAAGGAGGGGGCTGGCTTGGGGGCTGGATAGGCTGGCTTGGGGGCAGCAGTGGGGGCAGCCCCACCATGGGGGGCACCCTGGGGGCCACTCTGGGCTGTTTACCCTCTGGGATCACCGGCAGCATCACAGTAGGGTTGAGACTTGGGAAGTGGGATTTGTCCCACAGGGATGGGTCTCCACGGAATCATGGAGGGGGGACATGCTCCCTGGGGGGGGTTCAGTCAGGGAGTCTCATGGATGGGACTCATGAGGGCTGGACGGTGGGTGCCTCCCAGGATGAGGACACGGCAGAGACAGCCCCGCTCTGGCCTCGAACAGATTAAATGTCATTTTATTTCACACCCAAAAAAAAATGTAGAAAAGAAGAGGTGAGTGTGGATTTAATTGCTCATATTAAAAATCTACCAGGTGAGACTGAGCCGTTTCCTCCAAAGTCAGTGCAGATCCGCAGGGATGCTTATTCCTCCTCCTTCTCCTCTTCCTCCTCCTCCTCCTCCTCCACCAAATGCTCGGGGACCAGGATGGGGACAGGGGCGACACCTTCCCCCTCCCCAGGGTGTCCCCATGCCATGGGCACTCACTGCCACCGGCCCCATTGGCACATCCCTGGCCCTGATGCCCCTGGTGCGGTGTCCCCACAGTGCCACCCGCACCACGTGTCCAGGAGCGGGTGCTAATTTAGGGGGTGGGAAGGGGGGCAGGAGCGCCTGGGGGGGGTGGCCTCGGGCCGTTTTGATGTTCTGTCAGTATTCCTGTGTATTCCTTATTGTCCCTTTTCCCTCTGTACAAAATGAGCAGTATGGTCATGGGCGTCGGTGACACGGTGACGTTGTGGCTGCGGCGGCCGCCCCGCGCTCACTGCAGCAGGGCCCGGATCTGTTTGGACGTGGTGTCATCGTTGAGGTGCCGAGTGGTGTACCTGGACAGAGAGGGGACAGTCACCCTGTGGCCACCCTGACCTGCGCCGCTGTCACCCCACATCCCCCTGCGTGGCCCCTGGCTCACCTCAGAGCATTCAGGAGCCCCTCGGTGCTGGTTGAGGGTTGGTCTTTCAAGACTTTGATGCAGCCTTTCATCTGGTGGGGGGAGTGAGAGGGGCTGTGAGATCCAATGTGCCACAGGGGGGGCTGTCCCCCTTCCACTCCATCCTCCTCCTCGCTGCTCAGGGGGATGAGTTCCCCTCGGGACCAGCTCAGTCACATCCAGGGAGAGCATCACAGCTACACTGGGGTGAGCAGGATGGGTGTGGCACCCCCCCCATGCACCCCATGGCCACTCACATCGATCTTGGAGGTCTTGGCGAAGGCCCCCACGGGGTGGACGTGGTCATAGAGGATGATGACGCCGACCATCACCCGCATGCAGAACAGGAGGGTCTCGGTGTTGGTGAAGCGGCTCCGGTATTCCCTGTGCCGGGAGAGGGGCCGGCTGAGCCTGGGGGGCTGGCAGAGGGATCCTGGCACTGAGGTGTCCCCCCCAACCCATATGGGGTACTCACGGGGTCTCCAGCATCACCCTGCAGACACAGGCCATGGTGCTCAGGCAGTCAGTCGTGTCCTCGATCGGGAGGGTCTTGTTCTGAAACCCAACATGTCCTGGCTGCTGTTTCCACCCCCGGTCACCCACATGGTGCTGGGGCTGTAGGGAGCCTTCCCCCCACCCTGAGGGTCCCCCCAGCCTCCCTCACCTCCGAAACGAACTTGGTGGTGGCATTGCTGAGTGTTTTGAGCATGGGAGTGGCCTCAGCATAGAAGAGGGACATCCTGTTGGCCATCTCGTTGTTCACCTCGCTCTCTGCGTCCAGCTGGGGAGGGGTGTGATGGGGGGCCATTAGGGTGGTTAATCACCCCCGAGTCACCCCCAGCCCTGTGAACCCCTGGGGGAGGCCATCCCTGGTCAGGGTGGGGGACAGCACCATCCTTTCACCTGCAGGTTGTTGATGCGATTCCGGCTGATGGTCCGTCTGTAGTAGCTGAAGTCGTTCTGGATGGCAGGGTTGGTCATCTGGGTGGGAAACCTGGGTTAGGGGCTACAGCAAACCTGGGGGGCTCCCAAAGGGACCCTGCTGGCTCACAACTTTTGCACGGTCCCAGTGTGGGGACTCCCAGTTCTTGTCCTGCACAGGGAGGTACCTTGAGCTCATCGAAGCTGAGGGTGAAGTGGAGGATCTCAGCAAACTGCTTGGCCAGGGCTTGCTCCCGCTCGAGGTGCTGGGTCGGGGCGTACGGGGGGCTGGTGAGGGCCTCCAGAAGGCTCCGCAGGGCGTTCTCTGGGGACGAAGCACCTCTGGTCCCCTCCTGCCCCTCTGCACCTCCCCACCCACCCCCCGATGGGGAAACTGAGGCACGAGGCAGCACAGCACCCAGAGCTGAGCACACTCCACGGCCAGGACTCCTGCAGCCCGTCCCATTTCTGCATCGGGGTGGGATGCGGGATGCAAGGAGGGGATGCAGGGAAGGGGGGGTGGGGGTCAGGCACTCACCCAGCCGCAGGGAGAACTCATAGAAGCGTTTCAGCTTAGCAACGAGGGGGCAGACGGCGCTCCAGGCCCGCTCCTGCAGCCGCAGGTCCCCGGGGTTTTGGATGGCCTGGGGGAGGAGAGCGCCAGCGGTCGCCCCAAGCTGTGGTGGGTGGGTGGGCAGAGGGCGCCGGCGCTACACCCACCTCTCGGATCTCCTGCCCGGCGCCCGTGTAGGACTGCAGCTCGGCCAGGATGGTCTGTGCCTCCTCCAGCACCGCGTTCACCTGGTTCCACACCGCCGTCTCGGCCTCCGTCGGCTGCGCATCTGCAGGGCAGCGCCCCGGGGAGAGAAACCCGGAGGGCTCTGAGTGGGGCCCGGGGCGGCGAGAGCCAGGGTGGGGTGCCAGCACCCCGTCCCACGGCTCTCCCGCCAGTCCACAGCCCTTCCTGGCGGGATTCTCCCCCTGATCCGTCTCCTTGCCCGAGCTCGAGTCAAGCCGTGGAGTGGGGGGGCAGGTGGGGGTGAGTCCTGGCTGCCCTGTGACCACGGTCCTGCTCATGGGGGTCCCTGAGCAGCCCTCGGCCCCGCTCACAGGGCTCCCCGAGCAGCCCTCGGCCCCGGGCTGGCCCCAACTACCCCGGGGGAGAGGTGTGGAGTGACAGCCCCCAGCCATGGGTCTGCCCCCCCCTCCCCGGGGAAACCCCCGGAGGGCAAAGGTGGGGCAGGACGTCTGGGATGGGCTCGATGTGATGGGCGACGGGTACAAGAACTCAAAATGGTGTGGATGTGGAACTCAGGATAAATACGAAACAAAAAAGGAAAATAAAAATCCCATCTCACTTTCAAAGTCAAGGAAAAAATTAGGGCCTTGGTCAAGTTCGTTATAAGTCAACACTTTTAGAAGGTTCCCCATGTGAAACCTGCAAGAGAAGAAACAAGAGGAAAAAAGCATGATGGTGAGGTGGAGCTCGGGGAAGAGGTGCTGGGCTGAGGGCAGAGGCGGTGGCCAGAGCCCCCGTCCTCCCCCCGCTGCTCCCCGGGGGCTCGGGGGGCTCCTGGACAGCCGGGGGGTGACCCCTCAGCTGCTCCCGGCCCCGAGTGCAGCCTCTTCCCCCCCCGATGGTGATGAGCGCTGGCGGATGGGGTGATGGAGAGGAAGGAGCGGAGGGAGGAGGGAGCCGCCGGGAAGCGGTGAGCGAGTCCCTGAAGTCTTGGCTACAGGCGTTCCCCTCCTCTAGGGGCAGAGCCAGTCCCGGAATGGGGCATCCCAGCGAGCCCCCAGAGCCCCATGCCCGTGGGCTGTGGAGGGGACTGGAGGCAGGTGAAGGTTGTGCTGCCTCAAAGGAACCTGGAGGAGCCAGGAAGGTCTCTTGCCGTGGGAGTGAGTGGCTGTGTGACCCCCAGCCCTGGGTATTTTGGAGGTGCCTCTGCCTGAGGTGGTTGTGCACGGCCTCTCCCTGCTGGGGATGGAACTGGGGCCAGGAGTGGGGTGAGTGGTTGCACTGTTTTTACCCTCCTCACTCTTGCTCTGAGCTGTGCCCTGGAGGAATTGTGGGAGAGGGAGCCAGGGGGGCCCTGGGGCTGTGCCTGGTCTGGCATCTTGTCACAGTGTCCACCATCTCCTGTACACCCCTGTGCCCAGCCTGGGGGGTCTCAGAGCTGTGCTTTCCTGACCCAATTAGCCCAGGTCGGTGGGAAGCAGGGGAAGGTCCCTGATCCCCATCACTCGGTTCAGGCTGCGACCACTGCACCAACCTTTCCAGCGGTGCAGGTGGATCATTCCCTCCTCCTTACCCAGCCTCCAGGCAGGGGACATGCCACATGGCCACCAGTGCCACCAATTACAGCAGCAGGCAGGTGCCTGAGGTCGTCCTGGGCCAGGTCCTGCTGCTGGGTTGTATCCTGTATCCTGCCACTCAGCCAGGATGTCTCCCCACACTTCGAGGGATGGGGCATCTCTAGGGGTCTCGTTCTCCTGCCCCATTCAGCCCTTTGCAGGGCGAGTTTGGGGCTGCCCCAAGGCACCTGGGGACACGGGGCTGCTTGGGGACACGGTGCCTGTCCCCATCTTCCAGAGAGCAACCACAGCAGTGGCCCCGGCCCCCTCCCCGCTCCCGCCCTGCTCATGGGACTTACTTTCAAAATCCAGGAAAAAATGAGGACAGTTTTCTAAATCTTTGCCCAATACCTTTATCAGGTTGCCCATGGCCAGCAGACCTGAGCGAGAGAAACAGAACAGAGTGGAACAGCACCGGCACCCCTGAGCCCCCACGGTGCCACTTCCACGGCACCTGCCTGTGCCCATCCCACCAGGATCCGTCCCCGTGGCCCCCATCACTCTCCCTCCTGGCCGGGCACAGAGGTGTGAGCATCCACCAGAATGTGGCAGCTCAGCTCTCCCGGCACTTCTGCCAATTCCCAAGGAAAGTGGGATGCGGGTCTGGGAGTGCTGTGCTCCCTGGGGCACCCCTGGCCATGCAGCCACCGCTGAGGCACCCCAGGTCCCCCACCCTGACACCCCGTGCTCTCCTGAGGGTTGGGGGGCTGCCCCAGGTGACCCCCATGGGGTCATGCCTTTGCTGATGGGGCTGGGCACCCCCCATGGACAGGGGAAGATCCCAACTGGGAATTGTGCCCCATAGGCTTGGTGTGGGGGTCCAGTGCCTGCGCTGACGCATCCCACCCACCCCACAGCCGTGATCTTGGGTCTTTACCTCAGTGCCCGGAGTGGCAGCGGTGGCTACGGCAGGAGCAGGGGCTGTGCCACCCCCTGAGTCACTGCATGGGCTGGCGGGGACCTGCAGGCAGGAGGGCGAGAGGGTCAGGGCACCCCACTGCCCTGGGGACCCACTGGTGGGTGACCAGGTGGGGAGGCACAGTGGGACTCTGGATCCCACCACCCACCTCATGCTGCCACCAGCCTCATTTACCTCGGTTATTTTTTTACTGCCACTGGCAGCTCACCAGGCACCGAGCTGAGTATCCCTGTCCCTCTTCACTCCTTGGGGGACCTGCCAGCAGCCCGGGGATAACCCCAGGGCTGAGCCATCTGTCCCCATCTCTCCTTGGAGAGGCCAAGATCCCCAGGGATGACTTTCCCAGCTCCACCGGTTAGGTTTGCTCTTTTCTGCGCGTTGCATGAAGATCCCTTTATGCCGCCGATGAGCCACAACCCAAATCCTGCAGGCACCAGGATGCTCCCCCTGTTCCCTGTCTCCCACCTTTCCTACAGGGATGTGGGGGAGCCGGGATTAGCCCCATGGTGTTAGCGGGTTCCAGGAAGCAGTCATGAGTTCAGCAGATTGTAATTAAGCATTTGGGTTTAATTAATGAGGCAGGGGAAGGGGAGAGGGAGAGCTGGAGCGGCAGTGGAGAGGGATGGGGCGGCCTCGTGCCTGGGATGGGGCTGCTGCCCCTCAGCCCAGTGCTCCCTGCTCTCCCCCAGTGCAGCCCCTCAGCATCAACAGTGGTGGCTCTGCCTTCCTTCTCCTCCTCCTCCTCCTCCAGACCCAGTAAGTGGTGGCTTTACATTGGAGCTGCATCAGACTGACACTAAAATTCAGCTGCTTTTTGGGGGAGCCAGAGCACCCGTGTTCCCCACTGCACACCCCTGCCTCAGTTTCCCCAGGTGTGGTGGGCGCTCCTACCCCGCGATGGCACAAAGACACCCAGAGCTACCCCGGCACAGTGACACCGAGGTTCATCCTGCTGGATGCTGGGGTGTTTTGGAGTGGTGCTGAGGGGTCCCTGGGTTGCTGGGGGTCCCTGGGGTGCTGGGGCAGCCGGCGGGGTGGGAGATTGGCACCCGCTCTGCTCCGGCATTCGCACACATGCTGTGACGGGCGTGCGGGCGTCCTCGTGGCCGTTGTCCTTGAGTTGGGGCAACTTAGGGCTGGGATTTGTCACTGCTGAACTCTGCCTCTGCCCAGGGAGGGGGCACGAACAGGTCCCTGTGCTCCCAGGTGTGAGGACACCTCGGTGTGAGGCCGGAGCCGTGGCACTGAGGTTCGGTGCTGGGTGGGAGTTTGGGGATTGCTGCAGCCCCTCCGGGCTGGGGAGGAGGATCCACTGGGGGCTCAGCCCTGATTTGCACTATTTCCTCGGTCCCAGGTGCCTACATCCCGTGGTTGCCCTTGGCCCTGGAAGCCCGGGGTACCACAGCACATTCCCCCCGGGGGGGCTGTCGGGGAGGGCGAGGGTCTCCCTCCAGTGCAGGCTGCCCGTTGCTATGAGGCTGAACTGGGGGAACCGTGCACTCCAAATCCGCTGGGAAAGACACCCCAAACCGGGAGCGATCACAGAGGAATGTGCTGCTGGAGGAGGGCTGGGAGCAGCAGGCTCCCTGTCCTCAGCCACACCCGAGGTGGCCCCGGGTTCTATCCCTCCCTGCGGTGGCCTCATTGCACCCCAGCCCTGCTCCGGCACCTGCTCCTCTGCCCGGCCGTCCTGCCCCACGGGGACCCCACGGCAGGTGTCACCTCCGTGGGGACACCCCAGCCGATGGGGCGAACACCCCGACCCCCTGCTCCAGGCAGGGCCAAATCCTGCATCCGGGAGCATCCCTCCCCACAGCCAGCAGCACCCGGGCTGGCCGCCCCGGAGGGGCAGCGATGCCCACGGATCAGGTCCCTCCGTGTCACCGGGGGCCGTTTTTGGGCTGTGCCCCTTCGCCGCCGGCGCAGCATCGCCGTGGGCACCGCAGGCTGGTGCAGCGCCGCAACCCCGGCCGGGGGCTGGCTGCCCCTTCCCCTTGACCTGGTCTCGCAGCCCCCCCCGCCCACCGGGTGCCCACTGGGTGCCCCCCGGGTGCCCCCCGCCGCCGCCGAGCCCCTCCTGCCGCTGCCCCCCGCCCATGGCCGCGCCGGCATCGCCGCAGCCGCTGCGGGGTCGGACGCGCGGTGCCTGAAGGATTTTTCGTGGGGGGGGGGGATACCGTATCCCGGGAATCCGGGTGTTGATCCTAAATCCTACCCCAGGATCAACCAGGACACCCCCAGCCCTGCCCAGGGTGGTGTTGGGGCTTCTCAGCCCCGCGACCCCCCCGGTTTGGGGACCTCCCTGGGCGGAGGGTGGTGTGAGCCCCCCGCGGGGCTGAGCCCCCGGAGCGGGGCTGGCGGGGTGCGGGGGGCTCCCCTCTGCCTGGCTGCGGCTGCGGATGAGCAGCAGGATTTACCGCAGGGCTGCCGGGAGCCGATCCGCAGCACCCAGCCGGCGCGGGCGAGCACCCACCCGTGCTCCCGCACCCACCCGGGGCCACCGCGGGGCTTCAGAATCCCCGGGGTGGGGGAGAACCCACCCCATCTCCGTCCCATCACCCACCCCATCACCCCCAGTCCTGCGGCGCACCGGGCTGGGGGCGCAAAGGGAAAGAGGGGTCCCTTGCGGGGGCTGCCGGCGGTGTGGGTCCCTGAAGGGGGGACAGCCAGCCCCTCGCCCTGCTCTCAGGCCTGGTGGCAGCCCCGTCCCCGTCCCCCGTGGCGGCCCGTGCTCACCGTGGCGGTGGGAGCTCGAGGCGCGGGCGGGCGGTGGCGGCGGCCGGGCGTCTGCGGATGCTGCCGGATCGCGGGGTGCCGGGGACGAGCCGCCCGCCGTGTGCGTGAGCCGCCCTGCGCCAGCTGCCGAATGCACCACAAAGACCACCATAGCCCCCCGGCCCCCCCTCCACGCCACTGGTGACGGTGACGTCTCAAGTGTGAGGGAGACGGGGATGTTTAACCCTCTGCGTGCCGGCCCCGGAACCTCTGCGGCCTGACTGGGGGAGGGCTCCGGCTCCTGCTGGGGGGATGGCGGGGGCTGCTCCCCGGTTTTGGGGGACACCGTGACGCCGAGAGGGTGCCTGTGTGTCCCCCCACATCAGAGCCAGCCTGGTTCAGCCCCAGCACCCGCAGCCCGCTCCGAGCAGGGGGAGAGAAATCCCAGATGTTCCTCTGCTCCTGACCCAGCCCATGGATGGCACTGCTTGCCCCCAGTCCCCTCTCCAGGGATGGGGACAACCATCGACTCCACCTGGTGCCACTACTGCGGGGACAAACCAAACCCATGCCCCAGGACCCCCTTTTGACCAGGCAGCACCCTCTGTCTCACCCTGTCTGCCCTGAACTGAGGCCAGGAGTGGTTTGGGTGGCATGACCCAGCACAGAGCTGTTCCCACAGGGCTGATATGGGAGGTAGGAAGCAGGTGTGGACCCCCAAATTTGACTGGTTCTGCTTTTCCACCCTGCACTCACCTTTCCCTGAGCCAGTGCTGAGCATTACAGTGGGGACATCAAGTGGCATCCCCAGTGTTGTGGTCACCCCAGGTCCAGCTTGCCCAGTGGCACACAGAGGTGTCCCCCAGGGACACGGGGTGGGTGACAGCAGCTCCTTGCTCCTTTACTTGGGCATTTCTGTGCAGCAAAGCAGGGATGGGTGCCCACCCTCCAGCACCCCAAGGCACCTGGCACCAAGGCTCAGCCCTGGGGTGCAGTGGGCAGGGAAGGGACCTAAGCTGGGGATGGTGAGGGACCAGGGAAAGGCTGAGGCTGCCGGTGAGGAAACCTGGCTCGAAGGGAAGGAGCAGCAGAAGAAACAAGTGAGAAGCCCTGATTTTGGCCCTGGCTGTGTGGCTGCTGCCCAGGGTGTCACTGGAAAACGGGGGGGTTTGTGGGGTTGCACTGGTTGTGACCATCATGCACTGGCCTCGAGGGACAGTGTCCGTCCCTGTCCCCATCCCTGCCCGGCTCAGAGCACCCTGTGCTGGTGACACTGATGGGAGCAGAGCACTGGGAGGTCACAGATGGGCTGGCTGAGCCACCAGTGCCCCGAGCACTGCTGGGGTCACAGCCGGGTGACCTGGCAGTGCAGAGGGACGAGGGCTGTTGGAAGTCTGGGATACGCAGCTCCCAGCAGTCTGGGGGGGCTGATCCGGCTGCAGCAGCCCCAGGCAGCTGCCCCACAGCCCCCCCCATCGGGCACAGCCCCCCGGGCCGTGCTGGTGCAGCCCGTAGCCGCTGGGGGAAGCTGCAGCCCTTTGCATTCCACGGAGTCGCTGGATAAGGAGGTTTTTAGGAACGGGCAGGGCCCTGGCAGCTCTGCACCCCGGGGTCCTCGAGGCAGGGAGCTGGGGGGTGC